TAACCGTTTGCAGCCCCGCGACGAAAGGTAACACGTGAGGTACCAACGATGTCGCACGCGCCCTTAGGGACTGTCGTACGAAATGGCTCCACAGATCAGCAATGGGGTAGTGTGCCACTCGGCGCTGTAACGAGGCAGATGCAACGGCATAGTGNACCAGGATGGTTTCCATTCGCTGATCGGATGTTGCATTTTAAGACCAAGTTCTCGAACAGGAAACGATGTCCGGTGAATGCAGATCAAAATTTTCCAAGTTTATCTCAACGAAGGTCTATAACTTTCGGAGGATACGCGGGCAAAGGACGAAGATGGAACCTTGCGGGAAACATCCCAGCCAGCGACAGCCTGGCGGGCAAGGAACCGAGTGTTCTTGTAGCCCGGGCTTAAATATCTTGCGATCTCGCGGATCGTTACTTTATTGGTTATTAATTCTGTTTCTCGGTCCCCGCTTGGTCTTTGTTACCGGGTGAAATTGGACCAGATCGGTTCCCGAGAAAGACGATTGTCTACGAATACAATTCCACACCGTCTTTCGTTCGGTGTTGAACGAACTTTGTACCTTAACTAACATTCCCTTTATTTGTTCGTCTTATAAATAATTTAATTTACCAATTTTCCTCCTTTTTTTCGCGTGGTTTTAATATTAAAATAATTTTAGTTTTCCTTTTCCTTTATAATTTAGTTCCCTTAATTTTAATTAATCGCGAAGATCAAGATTCGTTTTTGTTTCGATGTTTGGTTAAAAGAATGTTTTTATCCCTGTCCAGGGCCTCACATATAGCTCAGAGCACATATACCAGGCTGGTAGCATCAGGCTCCACAGATCCGTCCTCACATATTGCGCTTCGGATTCTTCATATTTGTAGCTGGCCGAAGTTGGCATTTTATTTGGCCCGGTGGGCGACAAATCCGGAATCGCGGGCAACCCGGGTTCTATTTCTAGTTAAAAGTGGTAACTGTAACGTGACAGTGACTTTCCTGGGAAATGTTACTGCGTGCGGCCGAGTATATCTTATTAGAAAATAACCGTTTGCAGCCCCGCGACGAAAGGTAACACGTGAGGTACCAACGATGTCGCACGCGCCCTTAGGGACTGTCGTACGAAATGGCTCCACAGATCAGCAATGGGGTAGTGTGCCACTCGGCGCTGTAACGAGGCAGATGCAACGGCATAGTGTCCAACACTAAAATATACTATTAAAATGATCAATATTATATTTTATTTTCAAATTTTTAATTTTGCCACATATATCCTTCCGAAAGAAAAACGATATAATGAGGTCGAACGCTACGATTTGAATTTAGGTGAGCTTTTAAACAGCGCAGATACACGATTCCCGGGGGCGTTGGCGCTTGCAAAAATGAAAATAACACACAAAACCGGAGCGCGGGGTTTAGATTTCCGAAGAAGCTGCGAGATGAAAGTGGAATAGAACAAGAAAATGGTATTTGAGACTTTTTCCGAAAAGAAACGATAAATTTAATGCTCGATACAACGAACTTATATCAGGAATATGGAGGAACAACACAGACATTAATTATTTCTAAGCACGCGGTTTAAATTATATCGCAAAATACGTTTCAAAATGCGAAAAACTTCTCCATCATACGCCGATCTACTCGAAGAAATAGATAAAAGATCTAACTCGGAATGGCATTAATAAAAACATAAAAAACATTAATAAGACAATTTCTACTTTCATCCGCAGCAGAAAAAGATTATTCTTCCGATAAAGTAGCACATTCGTTGAGGGATTTTCATTATTTCGAGCGAGTACAACTTTTGTATATTTAAGTCTGAAAGATGAATGGATAAATATAAATCAACAAGGTCGTAACGTCTAAATTATTCGGATACGGAAGGAGACCAAGAAATATAGAAGAAATCTCTTTACTCGAATTTTCGAGGACGTACAGACACAAAAAAGAGAAATACATTACAAGAACAAAAGAAACCGTCGAAAGGATAATTCCTAGGATAACTGCAGGCGTTAGCTTTCAACAGGAGGAGGTGTACTACAAAATTCACGCTACATTACGTCTGCCTCGGAGAGAAAATACATTTTTTNATGAAAGTACTGTACTATTGTTACCAAGGGTTGAAGTCCTTGTATGTTTCGGCGCGCAGTCTTCGAAAGAAGAGGAAAGTCCGGAGACCGGGATGATTTCCATTCGCTGACCGGATGTTGCATTCTAAGACCAAGTTCTCGAACAGGAAACGATGTCCGGTGAATGCAGATCAGAATTTTCCAAGTTTATCTCAACGAAGGTCTATAACTTTCGGAGGATACGCGGGCAAAGGACGAAGATGGAACCTTGCGGGAAACATCCCAGCCAGCGACAGCCTGGCGGGAAGGAACAGAGTGTCCTTGTGGCTCGGGCTTAAATATCTTGCGATCTCGCGGATCGTTACTTTATTGGTTATTAATTCTGTTTCTCGGTCCCCGCTTGATCTTTGTTACCGGGTGAAATTGGACCGGATCGGTTCCCGAGAAAGACGATTGTCTACGAATACAATTCGACTTCGTCTTTCGTTTGGTATTGAACGAACCTTGTACCTTAACTAACATTCCCTTTATTTGTTCGTTTTATAAATAATTTAATTTACCAATTTTCCTCCTTTTTCGCGTGGTTTTAATATTAAAATAATTTTAGTTTTCCTTTTCCTTTATAATTTAGTTCCTCTAATTTAAATTAATCGCGAACATCAAGATTAGTTTTTGTTTGAATTTTTGGTTAAAAGAATGTTTTTCATCCCTGCCCAGGGCCTCACATATACCTCGGAGCACATATACCAGGCTGGTAGGTTCAGGTTCTATAGATTCGTCCTCACATATTGCGCTTCGGATTCTTCATATTTGTAGCTGGCCGAAGTTGGCATTTTATTTGGCCCGGTGGGCGACAAATCCGGAATCGCGGGCAACCCGGGTTCTATTTCTAGTTAAAAGTCGTGATTGTAACGTGACCGCGACTTTCCTGGGAAATCTTACTGCGTGCGGCCGAGTAATATCTTATTGTTGATAGAAAATAACCGTTTGCAGCCCCGCGACGAAAGGTAACACGTGAGGTACCAACGAGGTTCCACGCGCCCTTAGGGACTGTCGTACGAGATGGCTCCACAGATCAGCNCGCGAAGTAGGTTAATAGCGGTATACTAATATACCAATTACATGGGATATAATAATATACTACACTAATAATAGATTTTTTCATACTTTTCGGTTATCCGACTTTTCAATCATCCGACCAACCCCAGTCCCCAATTGAGTCGGATAATCGATGCTCTACTGTAGTTATTCGGGAAAAAGTATATTAATTAAGGTAGTAGTAAAATCGGTAGGAAAAACCCTAGCCAACGATAGCGTCGGACTACCGGCTTGGACGGGTGCCGCGGCCGTCGACGCCAACGATAAAACAATTCTACTATCGGGTCGACACTAATATCGAAAATTCGCAACGGGTGCCACCGAGCAAAGGGGGACGTCGACGACTGTTTGGAGGCGCGTTGGCTGGCTTCGGCCATATCCGGCTGTCACTCCCCGCGAAAGATATACCGCTATTTGTAAACTCTAAAGAAGACTTTTCTTCTTCAGGACAAACTGCTTTTATCAATAGTACGTTACAAAAAACGTTTCGATTAACGTCTATAAGAGAAGATACTGTTCAGAAATATATCGGACAGTATTGCGAAATGAAAACTGAGTGGCACGAATGTGAGGCATTAACAACGAGAAGGAAGACAATTTTACGTCCATCAGAGATTTCGTTAGATTATTTTCTAGGAATGAAATGGTTACTTCGAATAATAAATCGTTCCTTGTAATAGCGAAGCGATAGATCGGCCATACGCGCTGGGATTTAGATGCCTAGTATTCATCTAGTTACTACAATTGGCATTTTTCATCGGATGCTCGGCCTCTGGTGTTTAAAAACAAAACTATTCTATCTGGGTCGTTTGATTCATTCTTGTGTATTATCAGCAGTAAAGATTACTGTTGGTTCCAAATTGCAATTTCAAAGCCTTACGAGAGCCTGATATAAGTTTTCGTCTATTCCCACACGAAAAACGGGAAAAACAGATGATTATTCGGAAATTGATCGGTTATATTTATGAGTTCTGAATTCCGAAAGAGTGGATTAGACTGTTAATTAAGAATTGGAAGTTTCCCGATTGTCCACCTTTCACCAACAAGTTACGCTGTCAATTTTAAAACATTTTGTTAAAGTTAAAATGCCAATAATTTTGTGTAGGATTTAAGCATTTCGAAGCCCTGAAGCCGAACTCTGTAAGGCCCTTACCAACCCTTCACAATTTTAGAAGTCAATCATAAAAAGAAAAGAATTAAATCAGACTATGACTCTGATTTAATACGGATATTGGAAGAAAAAGACGTGAGGTTTCACTAGTCTTCTGTTTTATCTAAGTTTAATTAAATTTTTTTTTTTTAAATTGGTTTTATCAATTCAAAGTGCTTATTACAAAATCTGACTTCAATTTTCTTTTTTGTACAAATGTTTGAGGTCCCTCGAAAGTCGAGGCTTTTTACTTCCGGCTCCGATGGGACAATGTCAAACTTGATGATTTTTAACACAAAGGGCACAAATATAGAACGATCTCAATCATTTGTTTCGATACCACATAATGACGTGTTCCGCTAACAATAATTGTTCTCCTTCTATAAAATTTCTCGATAAACAGCCACGGGCAGCATATATCATTATATCGGACAGTAATATATGATTAATTTTATATTACTAGTTACGAGCCAAGGACCCAGATAAAGTAGCCATTTTGTAAAAATGCAGCGCCCTCTATAGTTCATGAAAAATGCGATAAAGACTGTACAATAACCAAATACTGTAACCGGTTTCTTTGTGTCTTCGTTTATTGTCTTTTTTTCTCGACAGATGGCACTATATAACACATTGCAACACTTCTTGTTTGTGATCATTTTTTTTATTGTTATTATTAATACAGTATTAATAATGACATTATTGTATTATTTATTATTGATATCAATTTTATTATTATTATTATAATATCGAACTTGGGATTGTTGATCGGGTAGCGTTACCTCGCATCATTCGGCATTCGGCAATTTTTATTTAGAATTTGCCTTCTCGCATTTAATTAAGGAATTAATACTTTCCCGGCTGTTATATAACAGAGGGACGTGGAGAAATGCAAAATATTCGGGGACTCTTTCTCTACGTATGGATGTTTGTTCGTTTGTGCGTGTTTTGTTCACCCTCTTTGAAGCTTAATAACTCCTGTGATTTTTGTCGAAACTTTCTGAAATTTTGCAGGGAGGTTTCTTTATTTGGGGGATGGATGCTAGTAAATTTTAGTGGTTAAAGATCGACTGGGTGGAGAGATAAAGGGAGTTGTGTATCGTATCTCGAGTAGAGTCGGACTTAATGGCGACTATACTGGTTATAACATTTACAATTTATATTAATAAAGGAACATTTTATGTATTCTTTTGTTCAAAAACGGTGGTTTAATTAAAGGGCCCCTACTTACGGGCCTGGTACGGGTCTCATGTCATTTTTGGAAAGCATTTCTAGTATGTTTATAGTCGATCAATATTAAAAGAAATAAATCATTATCTAATAACAGTTTATAGATGAAAAGATTCTTCGTTATTTATTGGAAAAATGCACTTTGAACTTAACACCAGATAATGTATTAAGTAACAGTTCTACATCGTTGACTTTGAATGTAAACAATTTGGTATGTTCTCGCTCAGTGTTATACAAATACAGATTTAAGCCATGAATCCAGAAAAGTGCAAATTTTTTGAAGGTAAACGTTAGATTCGTATGTTAGATTTTATAGAAAAATTAATTTACTATTGATAATCGCCTACTTCAGCTTATATTTTCAAAGTAACTTGTAGATTTACATTAAGACTTCTTCACTCTCGGGCGTCGTACAAACTATCGATGGTTCTGTTGTCATCTTTGCATCCCTGTATCCTTCATCCTATATATTTATAGTATAAGAGTTGTGTGTTTATATGATAACTATAAATACTCCCTAAATTAATGCGAGTGGATAATTTTATACGAATTTCACAAACAATATAGAGATACGCTAAATTGTTTAAATTTAAATTTTTAACTAAATCTTTGTATAGAGCGTGTTATATCTTTCACCTCTGTTCTGTTTATATGGTTCGTAACTGGCCGTGTTTCGCGTTACATCGACGGGTTGGCCACGTGAAGATTCCCTGAAATTCGACACTTGTCTAACACGTAATAAGGACCAGTTTCCTATAGAATATCTTCGCGGGAGGCATCCTCTTGGAAGATCGTCCACGTGTTGCTTGTCCGAATCCCATTAAACCAAACCAATTTTCAATAGTTAAAACATAGGGGAGACCGGGGCAAGATCGGCATGTTAAGCTTTACTTAAATTTTGTGTAATAAATACTGCNACAAACTATCGATGGTTCTGTTGTCATCTTTGCATCCCTGTATCCTTTATCCTATATATTTATAGTATAAGAGTTGTGTGTTTATATGATAACTATAAATACTGTGGATAACTTTATACGAATTTCACAAACAATATAGAGATATGCTAAATTGTTTAAATTTAAATTTTTAACTAAATCTTTGTGTAGAGCGTGTTATATCTTTCACCTCTGTTCTGTTTATATGGTTCGTAACTGGCCGTGTTTCGCGTTACATCGACGAATTGGCCACGTGAAGATTCCCTGAAATTCGACACGTGTCTAACACGTAATAAAGGACCAGTTTCCTATAGAATATCTTCGCGGGAGGCATCCTCTTTGGAAGATCGTCCACGTGTTGCGTGTCCGAATCCCATTAAACCAGACCAATTTTCAATAGTTAAAACATATATATTTAAGATAAAAATTTGATTATTTTAATTTTTATAGTTTCGCCACAAAAAGAATCTGACGGACACGGTCAAAAAGGTGTTTTACATACACACGGAGATCACGGACATACGCACGATCACATGGAAAATCCTGGCAGCTACATACGGAGAGAGAAACCTAAAATTAGGAGCGATTGGAATTCGGTAAAAATATGATTTATATTAACAATTGTCTTTTCAATATATGTACTTTTTAAACGCTTTTATTTGTTAGGGATGCGACCCCACCGTATCCCCCGAAACCCCATTAAATACTATATAAACAAATGTAGAATTTAATCACGATGTGTATCTAGATGCGCTTTAAGGGTGGTGGGGGATGATGGGAATAGATCCACACAAGCAAGTAAAAGCATTCTTTTTTTAAAATACGGTATATTAAAATTATTGTAAATTTATCTAACACAGCGGGCATTTACTGTGGGAATTGGAGGACCCGTAGGTTCTGGAAAAACTGCTTTAGTTCTCGCTCTTTGCAAATATTTCAGAGAAGATTACAATATCTGTGTTGTGACAAACGATATATTTACAAGGTAAACTTTACAGCATATATTCATCTTAAATACAGTAAAACCTGTTCAAAACGGAAATCTACCAAACCGGAAAGAATATTCGGTGCCGCTTTACACGGGTTTTATTGTATATAGGCTTATATAATGAATATATATATATATATATATTATAACTTGTGGAAAAATGTTTAAAAATTTCTTAATTAAGACAGCTATAAGTTTGTCCGTATATTATATATATTTATGCAGTATAAGTAACACATGCCATGTATGTGTGTATTATATTGTATAGTTTTTAAGTATCATCATATCTAAATTATTTTATATCAGACATATCAATCTATCTTCTTCCAAGAATTGCAAATATGACAGTGACATTATTACAAAATATAAAGCTAGTCTGACTTTTCAAAATGTCAACGAATTCTAAGCTTTGTTCATAATTGATAATCATGAAAGAAAAAAAAAATGTTAAAAAAAAATATCTTTTTTAATGTGTCTTAGCATTTAAAAAATGTTAATTGTTAAAATGGAAAATTTTTTGCAATATTTGTCTTCCCTGATAGCATTTAATGGCACAGCAAATTTGCTTCAAGTTTAATATATATATAAAATAATATATATACAGTATATTATATACCTCCTGTAATGAATTGATCAAAATGTATGAATGAGTTTGCTGTATTTTCTTAATTTATAACATTTGAAAATTTAGAATAGTCAGTTTATATGAGTCTTCTAATTAGAAACTGCCATGCATGAGAAAATAAATAGTTTATAACAATGTGTTCTAGATTCATCATTACTCCCGTAACGTAATAATTTCACTATTTTTATCGAATAAATAATAATAATTTTATCNTATTTAATGATTATTTTTATAGGGAAGATTGGGAATTTTTAATGAAGAATAAGGCTCTACCAGAAGAAAAACTTCGCTCGGTAGAAACAGGAGGATGTCCACACGCAGCAATTAGAGAAGTAAAATATAATTATTTAAATATATTTTAAAAGTTTTACGATATTATTTTGATTTATTATCTTAAAAGTTATGAATAATTTGAATAAATGTTTAAATTTTTATCGCGCTTATCGATTTAAAGCTCATTACAATATAAATTTTGAATTTTTAGGATTATTCCGTAAACTTGGAAACTATAAAAGATCTAACGAAGATATTTATGCCTCAGTTTATTCTCTTAGAATCTGGAGGAGATAATTTAGCTGCAAATTTTAGTCGAGAATTAGCCGATTACATTATTTATGTCATCGACGTATCGGGTATATTCTATTCTACTTTTAATTTTCATTAAAAAATAACTGTAATAAACCTACAATTTTTAATAATTCTATTAATTAATCGAAGGTGGAGATAAAATTCCTCGTAAAGGGGGTCCGGGAATTACCGAAAGCGACTTATTGGTCATTAATAAAACCGATTTAGCTGAAGCAGTAGGAGCCGATTTAAACGTAAATTTAGTTTGAATTTTGTTTTTCGAGTAGATAATATTCGTTATAAAAATTTATTTTAATACAGGTGATGATTTCTGATGCAGCGGCCATGAGAGAAGACGGTCCTACTTTGTTTACGCAAGCCAGACATAATATTGGAATTGAAGAAGTAGCTAAACATATTTTAGATTCTTATTATTCAATCAAAAATAATTGATTCTGTGTTAAAAGATGAAAAATAATATTTTATAATAATAATTAAAATAATTTTAATACATTAAAAATATTTTTAAAACAGCGCTTTTATTGTTCGTGTTTTTAAAATTGGGATTGGGAATGGTAAGGGGGCTCCACTCTCACCATACACGGTATATTTATGTATATATGTCTCTAATATGTATATATATATAATGTTTATCGGGTTTCGGAGTGGGGAGGATGATTAGTGTAGGACCATTCCTAAAACACAAGTAATATACATTACTCTCTTTGAAGCTTGATAACTCCTGTGCTTTTTGTGGAAAATTTTTGAAATTTTGCAGGGTGGTTTGTGTATTAGGGATATTGATACTATTAAATTTTGGTGGTTAAAGGTCGAGGGGATGGGGAGATAAAGAAGGTCGCGCGTATCTCGAGTAAGGTCGAACTTAATGACAATTTTACTCATTATTTGCATTTAAAATTTTTATAAAATTCTTCCCTACCCTCAAAATTAAACTTTTTGATACTTTATAATAATTAAAACTATATATATCATTGGTATTTTCTTTTATTTGTAGTAAGGAATTAAGATTTACACCGAATGCGAACTTCGTGATTTTAAATAATTCAGGTCGGAGGTCATTCCCCTCCCTGACACGCGATGGCCGATCCTATTATAGATCAGACTCGGCCGGTAATGAGTAAAATTGAGGCCAGAAGTATAGTTCATTGTGAGGTGGTTTCTGCAAGAAGAAAATCAATTTAGTCTATTAACCTTCTTTCCGTTTCTGCACTGACCAGAGAATATATGACAAAAATCTATTTTTGGCATAATTGCAACTCGGGCCACGGTGATGCAAGCCCTAACAGTTTCGTCACCGTGTGAATATTAACCATTATTTAACTCAAATTTAAAAAAATAAATGAACTAAAAACAAGAATGTTGTTACTTAATACTATTCCACTTTAAAGGATTGTTAGACACCAAGTAATTTGCCGATAAAGTATATAAATTGTGAATTAATCATCGAGGCAAAAGAGAATTGAATCGACGTGGTGATCAAAAAAGTTACTCCACACGTCATTTATGATGTTATTACAAGAATGATGTAATAAAATTTCTGGATATTCTCTGATAAATATGAGCTTTCTCGTGATATGAAATTAAGTATCGCGTGTCGTTCGAATCAAGGACAAATTCTAAAGCAATTTATCAGTTTCGATAATTTGTTAGGAAAGTTTTTAAAACATCACTTTGAAGTCATTCAAATATAATATCACCGATTTCGAGTCTTCTTTTACTACTATCTACCCTTCCCCGTCACGTTTTCTCACCAATTTTTAGACACCACGTGCGAATTTCGCGCTCGATTCACTTCCCTCTTTATTAAAATCAAGCATTTCTGTAAAACAGATCCACATTACATTAATTTATTCGTATTTTCCGCCGAGGCAAGGCTAATTTTAAAAATAGACTAATAGAAAACAATTCGGGAGAAGAATCTGATGACATTATAGTAACTCCTAGACGAAGGTTAGGGTGTTTATGTTATATAACGGTATATATTTCAGTTGGTATCTGTATCTTTAGTAGGGAAATTTTTAGGAGAATCTTCAGAACTTCAACATTCTACTAACACTTCATCCCCTGTTATAATCTTTCGCGTGTCCCCCCTGTCTGGTATGACCTCATTTTATGTTTTTTATTCTCGAGCCCCGTGTGAGGATTACAACATATCGACGATCAAAATTCTAAGGAATCAAATTGAAGAAGGTTGAAGACTTAATTATAATATTTAAGTTTAACCTTCGAAAGTACAGTACTATTCTGAGATAAAATTGTATTTTACATAAAAATGAAATAAATATCCGTGTACATTAATACATTAATGAATAGCAGTCTAAAAATTAAATATAGTTCAATCCATAAAATATATATTAATATATAAAGTCAGACTGTCAAATCTACGTAAGTAGGCATTAAAAAAATTGCCTATGTTTGGCAGTGGCGCGTTTTATATAGGTAAAAATGGCAATTTGGGGCCCTCCCTAACCAATCTTTTATAAGAAAATATTTCCCCAAAAGAAGTCAGTCGAAGAAAAATGTCTAAAGTCAACACTGTATGTCTACTCGGAGCTCCCTAATTCAAATTCGACTGGACTCCAAGAAGCTATGATGCTTACAGGATGGATTTTGTATGCATTTTTGCTATAAAAAACAGAGAAAAATGGCCGCTGTTATAAGAGGTTCGACCGAATTAACTTTTTTTTTTATGATATATAACGAAATCTTTTGTATAAATTTTAATAAAAAAAGGTTATTAACATATTTTCGGATATTTAAAAATAAAAAAAAATTATATTTTCTCACAGTTTTTTTAATAAAAAAAATACACAATAAATAAATAATTCAAAAAAATAAAAATTTCTATTTTATAAAAGAATATTAAAGTGTTTTGCAATAGAAAAAGACGAAAAAAATAAGGTTTATGGAGATGATAAAATTCGTAGAAATAATTATTTCCTTGGAAAAGAATTTTAGACAATAAAACTATTACTAAACTTTTTTTAAAAGGAAAACTATAATATATAAAATTTAATTTAATTCTAAAATTATAGTTTTTATTATTATTTTTTTTAATGAGAATATTTTATTAGTGTTATTGTATTTTATATATGTTAAGGTTATGTATTAATTCTCAATGTGTTCATTTCTAAAAATTTTAAAATTTATTTTTATTATTTTAGTTTCTTAACGACAGATGGAACCACCGTAGTTATTATTCTTTAATGGGATTAAGCTTTTTCGTGTTTATCTACCCATAAGACACGAATTTCTTATTTAATTAAAAGCGCGCTAGAGGGCCTTTTTTTTTTTAAAAAAAAAAAAAGCCCTTTACGAGTTCGGCCAGACCAAAATGAGGAAGTCGGTGGGAGGAACGGGGCAGACCTATCTGGGTGTCTAATACAGTATAGTGTTATGTTGGGGATATCACGTGGTACTAACTCATTCATCCAGACCATTCGCTGCGACACGTGACACTCCTAACACACTCGTGTTACTCGCATAACTCGAAAGTAGACACCATAATTTTGTTCATCGGGCATTGCTAAGTATCGGTTGTATCGGTTATAAGTACAAAAACAAATACAGTACAATATGGACGAACCCATTGTACAAATTTCTATATAGAATAACGTAAAAACAACAACAGTATAAGGGGATGTATGGTAGAGAAGCCATTATGGCCCACCGTGTTTAGATTTCATACTATATGTTCCATTTAGGCTCCCATTACCCTGTTGGAAGCCTTGTTAATATAAAAAAGAATGCTTACTTATGATACGGGAACAATTTCTGCCGCCATTAAATTAATTTTTATTTATTTATTTTTTTAGAAAAAGTGTGAAAAGTGTTGAAGTTAGTAAGTTTTATAAATAAAATTTTATTTTATTCTTTGTCTTTTTTTTATTATTTTTTTTAAAATAGTTTTATGTTAAAGATATCGATCAAGGTCCACCCCACGTAGCAGATTCTTTTGTTTTCTTTTAAATTATTTACATAAAACCCGTATAAAGGATGTAAATATATTGTGGCACTTTTCTTGTCATTGTCAGATTATATTTTCTCTAATAATGACTTTGAAGATTAAATTTTTTGGTATCGGAAAAGCTTATTTTCATATACAAATATATATTCTTTTATGTGTTTATTTTTCTTCTTTGTAATTTTCTGCAGATATTTCTGATTAGGAAGTTTAATTATAGCCTCTCGGCACGTCCTCACTCTCGCCAGCTTTCTATGTAACAATTTTTCTTGTACGGCTTTAATAATATAAGAGATTGCACGACCTCGACACTTTTTTTTTAATTCTTTGTTTATTAAAAACTTATTTCATATCAATAATGACTTTTAATTAATGTTTTTAATTAATTATAGATTATAATTTATACGCTTTTAAGCTTTTAAGTATAGACCTATGAGATTTAATTTCAGATTTTAATCAGAGTTTATCTAGACCCTATAAAGTTACTATTTACTCGTATCAAATTATTATTTAATGTATGAAAATAATTATATTTTGATCTAAATAATACGTAATTTATATAAATATTATATGCTATGCAATATTATTTATATTTCGACATAAATAAAAATATTATTAAGATAATAATAATTCATACGGGCGTGTTTTTTTTTATAGAAAACAGATATATTAAAACCTGTATAAACCGGACTCGCATTACGGCCCACCCATTTAAAATATATGCTCTCCACCTCAAATTATTAGTGGCTTGCCCCTGTAAATCATACTTTTCCTTTAACAATAGAGTCGTGCCGGTCATCTAACCCCTTTCGGGGGAAAATTTTTGAATTGAAGGGTGGAGTAAAACAGTAGAGCGGAGCCATTTTCCACCCCTTAGAAGCGGAAGAAATTTGAGATAAATATTTATATATTACACTGTTAATATTGAACAATAATTAAATTCGATTAAGATAGGCAAATTTTAATTGTAAATTAATCTGTTGTTAAACGATTTTCGGCATCGCACGCTATCGATCAATCGAAATAGATACTTACGATTAAAGATTTATCACCAACTAACTTAATTAAATTATACAATGACACGAGAGATTATCAATTAAGATTATTATTAAGAAAGATATTGGAGAATTTACCTTTATAAGTATACTATCTGCTCGATTTGCTCGGGCATTTCAGGAGATGGGATTGATGAGGTTGGGTTGGGAGAGTGATACAATGATCTTAGTAACTTAAAATGTACACTTACGATAATAAAACTGCAAAACGTAAAAGATTACTCTGGCTTTTAAGCTAAGAAGAGGATGGGCTTTAGGGGTAGTTGGAGTTGGGGATCCCCCGCTGTATTTTTTCTAGGATGTAGAAGAATATTTGGTGCGGATACATTAAACGGTTTAGAACATATTTTGCAGTGAACGAGTGGATAAAACCACTTAACACCGATCGCCTGGTCAACAGACTACAGACCACGTTGAGTTTTCCGGGTTTTCTTCGTGTTTCTAACACTTAAATAGGGGTGAATTTCCCGTAGAAAGTTAGTCCGGGAGGTATCTCTTCAGCAGATCGCCCACGTGTTGTGTTTCCCTAAACAAATGAACCAAACATACATATTTTGACTTTTATATAGGCCTACACAGAGGTAAACACATATATGTGTATGTTGTTCATGAAGATTCCATGATTTTTTTTATTGAAAACTATAGGAAATCAATATCTAATGGTAGATTGAAAAATTATATATACATCTACTAATACTTGAATACTAATTGTTTATATTTTAGTAATATCAAGGATTATTTAGCATATTCTACAGCAAGTTTAAAATCACACTAGAAATTAGTGATTAAAATATGTTAAGTGTTAACAGATTAGGAGTTAAATAAAATATTTAGAAATTTGTATCAAAATAAATTACTTGTATTAAATATATATATATAGAGTGTGAGTATTATTTAAAGTTATGATGCTTGGATACGTCTCGTACTTCATTTTTTATTGGATCTCTGACATTTTGATTACATTTCGCTCATATTAGATTGGAGAATTTATTGAATTGGATTGTTGAGATAAGACAGATTAAGGATAAACCCTGTTTTTGACCACACTATTTATAATATATCAGTAGGATCAAAATATTGAAACTTTCAGGAAATCCAAGTGCCAAATTAACTGTCTTCCCAGAGTCTCTACCTGAATTATTATTGATCGAATGGTGTTCCACACTATATTGAATGGGATAAGACAGGAGTGTATTGAATAGGATAAACACGAGATAAATATATTGGATAAGGTAAGGCGGGGTAAGTATCGCATAGAAAGGAAGGATTTTCTATGCAATACTAACTCCTATTGTGTTATACACGCAAAAAATAGCCAGGATAACTTCACAAGTCTACCGGTATTGACTTCGGGCATTTTTCTTCCGGGGAATTTTTTGGGAAAAATATTTTCTTATAATAGATTACGTGGGGGCTTCCTATTGGCGAGGACCCCACGCGATTATCGTAAAGATAAATATTAATATTCAATCTGTAAAATAATTTTTAATCGAGAATTTAAGAGATTATGTATATTTTAATATTAGGAAAACCCCCACGTAATAGTTAGAAATATTAATTAAAAATGAATAGAGCCGTGATTTAAAAATGCGGTCATGTTGTAATAACTATGATAAAGCATTTTTTATTTATTAGTAAAGTTAAAAATTATTATTATTATTATTTTTTACTCTTTATTAATAAATTTTAAAGATTTTCGCTGGTTTTCCTTACATTTTTTTTTTNGTTAATAAGGATATTTTTCTCTTATTATAGTTTACGAATGGTGTCGTCGTCGTCATCAATTTACGTCTCCGTTTCTTAAGAGTTTATTTTGTAATATCATGGAGAGGCACCTCTGCTAGACGGCAACGATATTGCAATTATGACAAATGGAACGAGAAAATTAAAGAATTCTATTGTTGAAAAAAATTGCTATTTTGTGAAATATTTAAAAACCGAAATTTTCTAACGCTTATTTACGTTATTTTATTTATTTATATCACGAATAGGCGAAGTGATGAAGTCGTTACGACATATAACCACCCTCCCCCTCCGAGTAACAAACGAAAACACGCAAATCCCCCCCATAAAAAAAAAGAATCACAAATTAAAAATTAGTAAAGCAAACAATTTAATTAAAATTGAGTAATTTTTTTCTATATTAAATATTTAAGATATTTCATTAAAAATTATTATTATTATTATTTTTTACTCTTTATTAATAAATTTTAAAGATTTTCGCTGGTTTTCCTTACATTTTTTTTTTGCTCTGGATTTACTAATTAATAGTTTAAAAAGTTGTAAAATATTCAGGCTAATTTCGAAATTATATTCAAAAATCTCCTGCCAAATGGGGAAAGAGGACATATTGAAAATTACAGACTTTAATGAAGTCTGCTGAACAGTCTGGTTGAGACTAGTGTGACCACGAAAGCCTGTGTTTGACCACACTATTTACAGTACAGCGATGACTTCGGGCATTTTTCTTCTGGGGAATTTTGGGGAAATTTTCTTATAAAAGATCGGTTCGGATCACGTGTTAGTGGGGCCCTCCAATTACCCTTTTTGCTCATAGGATAATTAAGGATTTTTTTTTTAAATATTACAAATAAAAACAACTAGAAGAAACATTGTACAATAGGATTTGATATAATTATTATATAATTTGATGCAACGTTACAGTCGGAAATTTTATCAACCCAGTTTTTACATGGAAATGACATCAGACAGAATACAATTTTACGTAAAACCAGTCATTGTACGAATTTCCCAACAAATAAATTATTCGTGTGTACGAAGCACATTTTTAACGATTTTCTGCATTTAGATTTAGATAATTAGATGGGTTATACGCATTGATTTGCGTGCGGGAAAAGAAAAAAGAAATCCATGAAATTCTTTTTCGGAAATAAAAAACAGAAATCTGAAAAGCTTGGCAATAACGAATAAGCGTTAGAAAAGTTGCTGGTTCATATATTTCAATTCAATAACAATAACAATTTTTAAATGTCTTTACTGGGGATTTTAGCATTAATGGGATGAGGCAACTAGACACACGGATGAGACTTTTTACGGGAAACTAGTCCGTATTTAGGTGTTAGACACGCGAAGAAAACAAGGAAAACTTCACGTGCCATTATGGGAAAGTGGTTCCTATTTGTTTGTTAGACACGCGAAGACAACCCGATTGATCCCCGACCAACTAGTTCGGTGTTTTATCCAGTTTTATGTTATTGTTAGGAAGAAGAAAACGTTGTTTTTACTAATAATTGCTCTACATTTTATACATTGCAAACACGTTATTAATTAATCTAAGAGATGAGCAATTCAACAATTCTACTTTCTACAATTTGCCTAACATAACGTGTCTTCGCTTACTTTAAAAGAAAGAATATTAACTAAATAAATAAATTTATTTATTTATATTTCCTGTTATCCTGATATTGTAATTAGAAATTTTTCAGAAGCAACATAAGAACCTTTGCATTATTTATAAATCGTTGGGAATCCTTTTAAATGCAATCGAATACAAACGTCATAACTTATATTAAAAGAATTCTTTTCTGTAAGTTATTTATTTATTTATTATTCAGTTAATTTAAACGTTGCAAATAATATAAAAACGGTCCTATCTTCGTGCAATTTCCTGTGTAATTTTAAAACATTTGTATAGAATTATCACGAATATTTTTATGTGTATTTATACTTTAATTCGTTTCTGTATTTCTGAATTATATATATATTGTATAAGGTTGGTCGCTTCTTGCAAACAGGAGGAGAGAGAAACCTTACAGGCTGTATAGCCTATATAGAAATTTAAATTGATAGTTCTTTCGAGCAGAATCGTTAATTTTAACAAAATTTTTATAATTTATCAATGTTAGAAAAGAAGAATTATAAAATAAAATCGACTCTCTGATGCAGAAGATATTTATCTAAATTTTAAAACTCATTCTTTATGGTCACTTGCGATATATGTATGTATCGTACACTTATCCTTTGTATTCTAATGCGGATCACAATACGTTCTTCTCATTCTAAAAATAGTATTGAGACATTGTAATCACTAAAAATAGAAAACATAACCTACATAATCAGATTTACACGTAGGTCTATCATACACAAACACAGTCGAATTAGTTATGTTTTTTTACCCTGTCGAGCCTTGTTTTTTTTTTTTTTAAAATAAGAGTTATAAAGAAGGTTCCTATTTAAATGAGCATTAACCTTTCTTAAAATTAAGTTCAAAGAATTAGTTAACATTAGTTTAACCTTTAAACTAAGCCCCGTACCTGAATATTTAACGGGGATAGTAGCAGTACGGGTAAATTAATAAATGTATTTATCGAATCACTTTTTATTTCCCAACATTACAGACATCATTTTCCTAATTGTACCACTTTCCAACCGTCTCTTAACTGACCCGTGTTTCGAGTGGACAAACCAAGCATGCAGCGATGAGCATTACGTGTGTCACGATTCCCAAGACCTGCTTTTTTTTATTTTCTCTACCAGGTACTACGATTTCTCCTCACTTCCTACATCTAAATCACTCTTGTGGAAAAAAAATCCTCCTCTACAGGCCACTCGAACATCCTCCGACTACTAAAAATATTTTGATAGGCAATCAAGGACACATCTCGATGTATATATACCGCTCGGCGGGAGAATATTTTTTTTTTACTACCTTTTAATTAAAGAAAAAAAAAACTTCTTAAATTTATAATATTAAGAGATTTTATGATTTTAATAAAGTTTTTCTATACTTAAACCCGTTTAAAAAGCGTCGAGTCGACCCGTAAACATCGGTGTGACCCACTCGACTGTCGAACAGTACGTTAGTATATAACGGCATTAGTCGTGTTCTTATTATATAAAGTAATGCACTAAATATATACAAATTATACCATCGGAGGAATTAAAATTTGAAGGTGTAATTAATTTTTGCCGGTGTTTACATCGTCGGATGTTGCGCTGAAAAATAAAGACACGCTCTATCACCCAACTGTTTTTGTGTTTATTTAGAAACGCAACCATTAATTTTGTCATTCACAATTAAGTAAAAAAATCTAATTTCATTTAAGTTCGAATCGTTTAAATTGTGTAAGTTAATCTAAATTAATTTAATATTTAAAAAATTGTATAGATTAATTGTGTTTCCGCATCATTTACTTGTTGTTAAGTATCAGANCAACCATTAATTTTGTCATTCACAATTAAGTAAAAAAATCTAATTTCATTTAAGTTCGAATCGTTTAAATTGTGTAAGTTAATCTAAATTAATTTAATATTTAAAAAATTGTATAGATTAATTGTGTTTCCGCATCATTTACTTGTTGTTAAGTATCAGAATTTTCTTGTCATTTTAATAAAACTAAATATAGATTTTGATGCCATTTACAGTGAATTTTTTTTCTTTATAAAATAAATTTATTTTAATACTTAAAACAACTGGATTTATTTCCTTTCCTTTTTACAATTAATTAGAGAGTGTTCTGGAGATATCTCTGTGACAATAATTTGTGTAATGTGATTCTATTAAGATCATTTTCATTACCAGAAAGGTGTTTTTATTTTTAAATTTAATGAGCTTTTTGGAAAAACTATAAAAAAAGAAATAAATTCTTGGATTAGTGGAACTAAATAAAATACTAAGGAACATCAGAAAAAAAGGAGTAAAAAATATAATATTTTAATGTATTCAAATATAGAGAATTATCCCCTTTTAACTGGAAAAATAATCCATAATATAAATATATATTATATTTAAAGAATTATATAGGAATTTCATACACTAACTAGACAAATATTTAAACCGAATATATTAAATATAATACAAATAAATAATTTAAAAGTGTTTATAGACATTAAAATGTTTAAATATTTAACACTAGAAGATGAAAAATTGTATTTACAACGCATCATTAAACACCGTTTTATATAAACGACGTCCCAAGTATTACTTAACTATTCCTCCGTTTTATGTAAGTATTATAATGTTTTAATACGTAAATTTAAAGCTTAATTTTAAATTTTTAATCTGTAAATAAAAAGAATTAAGTCTGGTAAAAATATTGACAGGTAACCGTATATAACGCGCACTTTTCTATTATGAAACACACGCCGAGTTATGGAAGATTTGAGCGATTAGTCCATATTTATATATAGTTAATAAGGATATTTTTCTCTTATTATAGTTTACGAATGGTGTCGTCGTCGTCATCAATTTACGTCTCCGTTTCTTAAGAGTTTATTTTGTAATATCATGGAGAGGCACCTCTGCTAGACGGCAACGATATTGCAATTATGACAAATGGAACGAGAAAATTAAAGAATTCTATTGTTGAAAAAAATTGCTATTTTGTGAAATATTTAAAAACCGAAATTTTCTAACGCTTATTTACGTTATTTTATTTATTTATATCACGAATAGGCGAAGTGATGAAGTCGTTACGACATATAACCACCCTCCCCCTCCGAGTAACAAACGAAAACACGCAAATCCCCCCCATAAAAAAAAAGAATCACAAATTAAAAATTAGTAAAGCAAACAATTTAATTAAAATTGAGTAATTTTTTTCTATATTAAATATTTAAGATATTTCATTAAAAATTATTATTTTATTGACATTTTTTTTTTAATTTTCCAGTTTCGAAACGTGAAAAAACACAGTTGATTTCTCGCTTAGACACAGCTTGTCGGTCATCTGTGACACCTTGACTTCTTCTTATTGGGAGAAGTGTCGGTCATGTGACATTCTCCATACTTGACGTCGAGATACTCCGCTAGAAACGGCAAACGGCGTTATCTATCTATTCGCGATGCCTGTTGCAGTGACTCAGAGTCAACTTACTCTTACCAGTTCCAGAGAAGCCGAGAGAATAACGTAAGAAAATTTACTTTTCTTTATTAAAAAAAATAAGATTTTTTTATTTTTATTTACCGAGTTCGTTGCACTCTGACGATTTTTCGCTGATTTTTCGTGTATAGTGCGCGCGTTGTTGGGTGATTTTCTGTGTTTTTTTTTTTGACGGATGAGTGAGTTAACTCTACCAGGATCGGTTCGGTTGTAAAGAAAGTTTATGAATGGATTTAACGCTTGTACACTTATCTAGGACATGGATGTCGAGCAGATCCCCTGCCAGAGGTAGTTTGGGTCGTTAAATTAGTGTCTAGTTGACGATTTGGACCCCTTTCGAATGCCTTCTCTGCCAATTAATTTTAATTATTTATTTTTTCTTAAAAAAGTACATATTTATATTGTAGCATTTACAGTATTTCCAAATTTTTTTTATATCTCCATCTGCACTTCCCCCTATTGTTTTGGACTTAGTGTCGGCGCTAAATGGTGCTTTTTTAGTAACTACGTTAAAACGTTCCCTTTTTCAAAATATAATTAGCGATTTTTCGTACCTCATTTCTTTTCAAAAACGTAACGAGAACAGACAATTACCAGACATTATTGTCCTTTCATCAAAATATGGCCTTCGACAAAATGAGTCTCATCTCTCTTTAACATCTGTGCAAAATACAAATAACCACTTTCTTCTATCGGCTGGAAGACAAATCGACAAATCCCATTTGCTTTTTTACGTCCCCTGCAATCAGCCTATGGTATTTGTTGTGGTCGATAGAGTGGGCGGACCAGTTTGTTTCGTACGTTTTTATGCTTGTTACAAAACTTTTTACCTGAACATATAGAAGTTTTCTTACTGGACGACTGCCCGTTACAGAATTTTAATTTATCGAAAAGTTAAAAATACGTCACAGATTTAATTCAAAAATTTCCAAATTAATCTAACAACATTTTTCTTGAAAGATATCATCGAGATTTACGACAATTCAATAATTTCTTGAAAATATAAAAATAGAAAAGAATTGTCGCTGTCTAGATATTTCGTTGTTCTACAGTACAACGAAATATCCAGGGGTCGCCAAAGTGGTCGATATCGATCCCAGGGGTTCATGCAACATCATTGGGGGTCGATGCGGNCGTTTAGTGCGAATATTTTTTTAATATAAAATCTATTATTAAAATTAATTTAATTGCAATTTAAAGATAGGCCAGTGCATTAAAAGTAAAGTATATTAACTTGTCTTAAGATGTTCGAATAGAGAAAGAACGTTATAAAGTTTTTTTTTTTCTTTTAATAATTGTAAATTAGGTATCGAAATTCGTGTTTTTCTAAATCGTTTACATGCGAAAGTTGTGAAATTCGTGCGTTATTTCGAGATTGCGTGACGATAAAAAAAAGTGCTAACAGACAGCGATTCTATTAACTGCCATTGAACTAGGGAATCGCAGCTAGCGATTGACTAATGCTCACAGTTTTATTAAAGATACAGCTTATATCCGCAAAAGGGTTATGACCGAAACGACCTATTTATATCAACTATCGTATACACATGGGTCATCCCATGTTGGCATCTCTGTAAATTGCTCCGTTAAAACAAAGGAGAGAAGGTGAAAACAAAATCGAAGAGGGGGGAAACCTTCTAAAAATACACTTTCACTATCCAAGTAAGGATAATGGACGAGTGAGAGGGAGAGAGAGAGAGAGAGAGAGAGTGAATTTTCTTATAAAAATGTTAAATGGGACGCATAACTGGAAGTGTGTTCAACTATTTGTCATCGAAATCTTGTCAAGCATGACTAAATATCGATGTTTGTCACTATGAGGTCTCCTTTCGGAGAAATAAATAAAATTCAGGAAGCATCCCGACTGATTCGTATTGATAAAAAAAAAAAAAAATAGGAAAAATCGACAGAATTTTAGTTAAAAAAAAAAGAAAACTGAATCATCTTGGTTTTCGTTAAATATTTCTCCTTTAAATAGATTTAAATTAAACCAATTAAAATCCAATTAATCAACTAATTAATTCTTTGTGTTTAAGGAGTAAATTAAAAATGGCGTATCTAAATAAAATTTCATTCTATACAAACAAAGACTATAGAAAAGAGCTCATAAGAAAATAGATAAAAGTCAGCGTATTGTTACTCTTTTATTAAGTAGAAAGTGTTTACACACCGGGTCATTGTTTGATTATTAAAGACTTGATTTAATTAAGGACAAGGCATTGTAGAATTTTCAAGATCGAAAAGTAAATGTTCAATTTCATTATCAGGCATACGAGATGGTGGCAAAGACGAAGTCGATTGGAGCGAATACTTTGTTCTTTGACTGTACTTTCTTTATTTTTGTGTGCTGTTATGGCTGTCTCCGTCGTTCTCATTGGATATCACTTCCACAACGAAGACAGTAAGTTTTATTCTCTTCTTCTATCTCTTAAACTCTATCTATCATTACCATACATCTGTTTATTCGGGACACACTCGAATTTCTCCGGTTTTTTAACCATTAAAAATACAATAAAATATTAAATATGTCTTCTATTATAATATAATCAATGTATAAGTAAATTTTTTAAAAAAATTCGCTTAAATTTATTTATTTATATTTCCTGTTATCCTGATATNTCTACTTGGATCCCTTAACGATTTTATGGGTTATTTTTTATTTAAAATATTAGAAAATTAATTTATATTGATTCGTGTGATTTACTGTAATAAAAATTTATGATTGGCTAAGCTTCATTCACACGGTATTACTTTTTTTTTTTAAATAATAATAACAACACCAGGAAAGTTACCGAATATAAATTAACTGAAGCGTAAAATTTATTCTCTAAATAAGTAAAAAAAAACAATTTATTAATTATTGTTTTAATATTTATATTTTAAAATTAATTACTGTTTTTATTGACCTTAGAGGCGTAATTTATAAGCGCAGTAACTTAACTCTCAATCTCTCTAAGGATTTAAAATGCATTTTAAAAAAAAAATGTAATTTTCTTTTATTTTTGCAAAGATTTATGAAGATAAATCTTTGCAAAAATTATATAATAATTTTTAAATTTTTGCAATTTCAGAAAATACAAATTATATAGAATTTTGAGCCGAGGAAAATTAGTTATTTTTCACATTTTCCTCGAGTGAAGATTAGAGGAAAATTATAATGAATTATATTCGTTCTTACTGACTGAAAGATTACTGCACCCAATAAAAAATAATATTATTAATCAATATTTCACTCGCTTCATTAATAATCTCGGCTATTTTACTTAATTACTGGTTATTAAAATACTGTAATTGTCGGCGTATAAGATGCACCCCCTCATTTTCCTAAGTTATTTTTGGAAAAACAATAATAAAATTATATATATATATATTTTTTTTTTTCGGTTTATCCCTCCCCCGAAAAATACAAAATGGGGTGCGTATTATACTCTGGAAAATATACAGGGGAGGTGCAAAAGTAAGTATATAGTTTTTAAATAATACTAATAATAATAAACTCTGCACCAAACATCTGTGTTTCTCTGATTTACAACTGTGTACTGCTTTTTCATCCCTGTATATAATAATAATAATTACTGTATTATTTTTTAATGTCTTTGAAACACGGGGTGGGTATTATATGCTTAACGGGGTTCTAACTTAACTTAAGAAAAATCAATATTTTATAATAAAAAAATATATAAAAAAAGGCAAAGTTTAACGACTAGAAAACTATCTTTATTGTTTACTTAGTAAAAGTAGGATAGAAAAGTGATATAAATATAAATTTAGATTCTTGTAATGTATGAAAAATAAAACACGGAAGAACAGTAGATTCAATAATGATTTCAGGATAATTTTAAAAAAAGATTTATGGATATCCACGTGTGTTTTTTTTTATATTAAGAATAATCTATTAAAATANTTTGTGTCAATACATACTTTAGAATCTTCATTTAACATATTTAATATCTCAAGTACATTTTCAATTATATAATGTAATTTTTAAATCAAATTTGCAATTATGTAAATGTTATAATATATATATATATATAAAATAAGATTTCATTTATAATAGAAATCTTAATCTCTAATTAATTCCTTTGTTTAACTATCCAGGATATCAGGTAAACAACTTTATTCATAAAGAAAAATTATATTTGAATATCATGGCAAAGAAATTGGGCAATTAATTCCGACCCACACTGTGCGTCTGACTGGGTGGATCGATGCGATAGATATATTCTGCAATATTATAATAAGCAAGATACTCCGCTTCTTCTGGAGTGGTGTCGGTATGATAATGACCACCCTCTCCATGCTCGCTGAAACAATGCGTGTGTTCCACTCGAAGATCTAAGCCCTTTAAACATAACATTAAAATAAAAATTGGAACAGTGATTTATGAGAAAGACAATGTATAATTTATTTAAAATAAAGTTTTTTTTTATCCTCCGAAAGATTGATACAATAAAGTTTTAATAGTCGAGACGGTGATGAACATGATTGAATTCGAGTTAGGAAACTTCTATCTTAACGAGTCTCCGGTTGTAAAGATAATTAATAAGTTTTCTCTCGTTATAAACATTCTTTTCTTGCGAATAAAATTTAATCTTTGGGGAAAAAATGCCATTTTTTTATAGGTTTTTTAAACGAATATCTCCCCTGGACGTTAAACAAAGATGTTGCTGTATCAAATAAGATTTGTTTAGGTCCTGGCTGTATTAAGGCAGGTAATTCTCTCTCTCTTTTTTTAATATATATATAAAATATATTTAATCAGAATTTTGAAGATTAAAAAAAAAATTGAATAAAATTTATATTTAGCCGCTGTCATTTTAAATAATTTGGATGTAAATGTGGATCCATGCCAAGATTTTTATCAATTTGCGTGCGGAGGTTGGATTCACAGTCATGAGATTCCTGATGATAAAGCATCGCTCTCCGCTTTTTCTCTTCTTCAAGAAGAGATGGATCTTAAATTAAAACGTATGTATTGGTTTAATATATTTAAATATCTTTAAGATTTATAATTACAACGATATTTTATAACGCAAGGTCTGATAGAGCGACCGATTGAAGATAATGATCGTGATTTTATCATCCTTGCTAAGAATATGTATATATCCTGTATGAATACTTGTAAGTATATTTAAAAAGTTCGAAAAAGTCCATTAAATCCGTGAAAAATCCATTAAATATTTCGTTTCAGCGAGAATTGACGAGTTGGGCATTCAACCTCTACACGATATTCTGGAGAAGTTAGGGAAATGGCCAGTTTTGGAAAGGGAAAATTGGACCGATTATGATTTCGACTGGTTGGAAACACTAAGCAGAATGAGGCAGAACGGTTACAGATACGATATTCTAGTCGATATGACAGTTTCTCCCGATCTTCGCAACAGTACACAACATATGATCGACGTTAGTCGCCATTTCAAATTGGAAAAGTTTAATTCTATACTTTTTATACACATTTTTTCACTTCTAGGTCGATCAGCCTGCTCTGGGGATGCCAGACAGAAGTTATTTATTAAAANAAAAGGAGAGTGAGTCTAATTATTATTATTATTATTTTTTTTATATTATAATAAAAGAGTTGAAACATATTTAAAAACATAAATTAACTGTTTTTTCAGTTGGAAGAAACACGCAGCAGCGGCCATTGTTAACGCATTTTACAGTTCTCTAGAGAACAGCATCGGTAAATAAATTATTAAAAATCAATTATAATTTGATCAATTTTTCGTATTTAAACAGTATTTATTTTACAGAATTTCCTGCCGGAATTCTACAGGGAATATTTTTCAGCCGAGAAAGACCCAAGTAAATTATAAAATTTAATGACAACTTTTTTTAAAAAATAAAACCCCAAATTAATAAAGTTTAAAAGCATTTTAATTTAATTATTATTGTAATTGTTTTTTTTCCATGTGTGTGTGTGTATTGTAGTTCTTTAAATTTTGGAGGGATTGGATTTGTGATTGGACACGAAATCACTCACGGGTTCGATGACACAGGTAAAAAAAAAAATGGGGATAGGGAAAAATTGAATTTAGTATTATACAGTTAGTATTTATTTTTATAATTACAGGTAGACAGTTTGATAAAGATGGGAACAATGTCAATTGGTGGAAACCAGAAACTGATGAGAGATTCCGACAAAGAGCTCAATGTATTATAGAACAATATGGAAATTATAGTTTTTCCGAAATAGGACTTAATGTATATGAATTTATACTTTATTACTATTATTATTTATTAAAAATTATATAATAAATAATTGTTATTCAATTATAGATCAACGGAATTAACACTCAAGGAGAAAACATAGCCGATAACGGAGGTATTCTAAAAAAACAATTTTAAAGTTCCCTATTCGTTATACTTAAAACACAATTTAAGTGTGATTTATATATTTTTTCGTGTATCAAATTTTTAATAGCGTTATTTCGAAAAATGCTTGTTTATCGGGGAAAATAAATATTTTAACTATTTTTATTTCCCTTAATTTCTACAGAAAAAAAAATAATAATAACGGTTTATCTATTATTTAATACAGTGAACTAAAATATTATTTTCCTTATTCCAAAGATACTTTTTCCACGTTGTAAACGGGAAAAATTCCACTTTCGACAAGAAAACTTTAAGTTTTAATAATTTATTTATAAGAATGGGCTGTAAATAATGACGTTTTCTTAATCTTGTTAACTACTTTAACGAGCATTTAGATTTTTTTTTTAATGTGAATTTTCAAAGGGAAGATAATTGCAGATCTTAGTATTATCTCGAGATTAAGGTCATTGATCGTTTTATTTTATTGTTCGATGAACTCCTACACGTTTCTACAATGGCCCTACTGTATTAATAACACGATACTTCTGTAAATATACATTTAATTCGGCGAGGAAGTTTTATTGTAAGTAAAGATTCTCTACTTCGGTATAATTTGAGAGGTTCAATTTACAAAGATTAATTGCGATAAATCTGTCAGGTGAATATTTTCTGTAAGATAAAAACATTAAAATATGTATTAATTAATATAAATTTTGATGAAGACTTATAAAAAATACACGAGAGAATTTCTAAATAGATCCTTTCAACTATCCAACTGTATCAAATTGGCATTTATGGGGAAAAAATGAACTTGTTAACGCCCCTATTTCCTCGTTTCTATCTGCCTCATTATGTCGATCAGAATGTCCTTGAGAGCTTTTTTTCTTCTTTTTTTTCTGTATTGTAGAACAACAATACATTTCGAACGTCTGTTTGTCAGTCCGATTCGTTTTCTAGCTATTTACTGGTAGCTTAACAAGGAAACGAGTGTTTAAATATTCGATAGACCGTACCGTTTAAATATGACATGCATAGTTGCAATGAATTTTTGTCCTTTGTTACGTTATATTTTGACGCGAAGGACGTAACGAGTAACAATAACGTCTAGACAAAAGTTAATATGTTCCTTTATGGAGAAGAGTTTGATATAATAACATATTATTTTAAAATTATGTGGTTCAATATTTATTGAATGTCTCATTAAATCCACTGATTGTAAAATATGAGGCGAAAAATAAAGATAGAGATCGAAAGATGGAGTAGATTTTGTATATAAATAGCTTAAATGCGGTTAGGAAAGTAGTAGATTTGCTTGGTTCCGTGAGGATATTTTATAAAATGACGAGGAATTTCCTACAGGAATTGAAGTTCCTTGTTCCGAAGTGGAAAATAATCAAGCTCGTCGGATTAAATTGTAAAGAATTTATATTTTTTTTTTATAGATTTTCTTTTCTCATAAATTATATTTAAATTTTAAAGATTGACTGGTTGAAGTTCTTCAACAATTTGCTATTAACTAACGTTAGCAGATCGGAACCAATCATCGTAATCGTTCCAGATTATATACGAAAAGCATCCGAATATTTCAGCAAAGTGGATCAAAGGTAGGTGTCTTTTTTTCTTCCTATAAAATCAATTTAAATTCTAATAATTGTTAACATTTTAGAATATTAGCCAATTATATGCTTTGGAGAATTATATTCCAATCGTTACCAATGCTAAATCGGCCATGGGGAGAAATATCTCAACACTATTCTTCGGTAATAACGGGTAAAATTCAACACGCTCCAAGATGGGAGCAATGTTTGACTTCTGTCATGGGCTCGTTAGGTTTGGCCATTGCATCTTTATACGTTAAGCATCACTTCCGAGAAGACAGCAAAGCCACAGTAAGTACAATACAGTATTTTTTATATACGAATCTTACATAATTACACAAGCATTACTAGTAATTTTCTAATGATTTAAGTTAAAACTAAGTTAATTTAATTAAAATAAGATAATTATATAGTGTGATTAATTTGTAACTTTCTTAAGTTATGTAACTCTTTTAACACGGTATTGTAATAAGCAGTAAACATAAATCTCGTTTAATCAATGCCATCAAAGTAAATTACAGTTTAATAATAGATGACCTTTCGATCATAAGTAACATTTTTTTTTTAAAGTAAAAGACATCTTCCACGTCTTTTTTTCTTTAAAGATTAGAAAGAATTAATGAGAAATCTAATTTGAATAATGTGTATCATATAATGGAATTATATAACTTTCAAATAGATTTTTTTTTTCTTAGTAGTTAAATTCTATAACGATAAATTTAATTTTAATTAGCTGAATTAATTTAATTTTTTTTTAAAAAAAAACACACTTTTTAAATACAAAAATGAATGCATTTAGGCATTAGAAATGGTTAATTACATCCATAAAGAATTTTTAAAGACGTTAGAGAAGATCGATTGGATGGACGACACTACAAAAATATCGGCTAAAAAAAAGGTAAATAAAATATTTAAAATAATAAATAATGGATTAATATATTTTAAAATAAGATTTTCTAATAACCTAATTAAATTCGGATAACATAAAAATATTATACTTTGCAGGCAGAAGTCATTAAGGCGTACATAGGATATCCAGATGAGATATTAAACGATACTGATCTATCGTCATTCTATAAAGATGTCAGTTTAGATTTTAATATTATAATATATAATTTGCATCCTTTTATAACATAAAATAATCATTTAAAAATTCCTTTTGCAGTTAAATTTATCTGCAGATAGCTATTTTACTAACGTGTTGAACCTGCGAAAATGGACAGTCGATTTTGGTGTTAGTAAATTAAGAGAACCGAATATAAAAGGAGAGTGAGTCTAATTATTATTATTATTATTTTTTTTATATTATAATAAAAGAGTTGAAACATATTTAAAAACATAAATTAACTGTTTTTTCAGTTGGAAGAAACACGCAGCAGCGGCCATTGTTAACGCATTTTACAGTTCTCTAGAGAACAGCATCGGTAAATAAATTATTAAAAATCAATTATAATTTGATCAATTTTTCGTATTTAAACAGTATTTATTTTACAGAATTTCCTGCCGGAATTCTACAGGGAATATTTTTCAGCCGAGAAAGACCCAAGTAAATTATAAAATTTAATGACAACTTTTTTTAAAAAATAAAACCCCAAATTAATAAAGTTTAAAAGCATTTTAATTTAATTATTATTGTAATTGTTTTTTTTCCATGTGTGTGTGTGTATTGTAGTTCTTTAAATTTTGGAGGGATTGGATTTGTGATTGGACACGAAATCACTCACGGGTTCGATGACACAGGTAAAAAAAAAAATGGGGATAGGGAAAAATTGAATTTAGTATTATACAGTTAGTATTTATTTTTATAATTACAGGTAGACAGTTTGATAAAGATGGGAACAATGTCAATTGGTGGAAACCAGAAACTGATGAGAGATTCCGACAAAGAGCTCAATGTATTATAGAACAATATGGAAATTATAGTTTTTCCGAAATAGGACTTAATGTATATGAATTTATACTTTATTACTATTATTATTTATTAAAAATTATATAATAAATAATTGTTATTCAATTATAGATCAACGGAATTAACACTCAAGGAGAAAACATAGCCGATAACGGAGGATTAAAATTAGCATATTGGGTATATAATAATTAATATTAATAAATAAAATCGAATAAAAAATGTATTAAAATAAATTAATTTAATTGGTTTCAAAGGCTTATCAAGCGTGGAAGAAACAAAATGGTTACGATGTGATACTTCCAGGATTGCCTTACACGTCTGATCAATTATTTTGGATAAGTTCGGCTTCTGTTAGTAAAATCTTTTCCTTCATTTTTTTTATTTTAAAATTAAAAAAAAATAATGTTTAATAATATATAAGATTTCAAAAATAAATTCTGTAGCTTAAATAAAAATACATTCGTATAAAACTTTAAATTAAATTGACTTAAAATCGATTTCTGAAAAGGAGTATTAAAGTATTTAAGAAGGTGTATTTTAGGATTTTTATCATAAAAAAAAATACAGATTTTTTAAAAAAATAATAAATTTAATAGAGAATTACATTTAATATACATTTTAATAGAGATAAATTATTTAAATAGAATTTTAAACAATAACCATTATCTGGGGACGTCGAGAGCTTGTATGGATGGAGCCCCATTTTTTTTTTTAACACCCGGAATACTTCTATAAAGAAGTGTAATTAAATAAATAAATAAAAAGCAGTCTTATTGGTAAAAATAATATTAATTTTATAGCGGTAGAAAACACCACCGGTCAGGGAAAAATCCCCAAATTCCTCCTCTCTCGACGGCCCCGATCTTTCTTATCTATTAATTAAACAAATTAAATTAACATATTTTTTATTTTTTTTTTCTTTCCCCTCGAAAAAGGTTTGGTGTGGAAAATATCGCCCGGAAGATTTAAAACTTCGAATTTTGTCTGGTTATCACAGTCCACCAAAATTCAGGTTTTGTATTTAATAATATAGACATAAAAATATATATACATATTTTAATAATTTAAATAAAAAAAATGAATTAGAATATATAAAATATATATACTTTTTTCTACATAAAAAAACTAGTTGTTATGGCCGACATACCACTTTATAATTCATACTGCGGTTAGTATTCGTGGCATCTGTCTGGATGTAGACGTGTAGAGAACACGCATTGCAATTTCTTATTATTTATTTTAAACTTAGAAAACTTAATGAATTTTATTTCCTAGTTTTGAAATAAATTCGAAATTTAAAAGGTGTCAATAGTAAAGCTCTCTAGTCACATCGGGATCGTTTTTCTCCATTAAGTGGCTTTTTTTTTTCGTTGACTCTAGGCTATATTAAATTGCTTGTACTGTAAAGTACACGCACGTGTGCTCTGTTATCTACCTCTATCAAAATATAAATGTCGTAGCTTCTTACCAGCGTAATATATCCTTATATTTTTTTTACATATTTTGGAAATGATATAAATAATTCCAGTAANTAATCATTTAAAAATTCCTTTTGCAGTTAAATTTATCTGCAGATAGCTATTTTACTAACGTGTTGAACCTGCGAAAATGGACAGTCGATTTTGGTGTTAGTAAATTAAGAGAACCGAATATAAAAGGAGAGTGAGTCTAATTATTATTATTATTATTTTTTTTATATTATAATAAAAGAGTTGAAACATATTTAAAAACATAAATTAACTGTTTTTTCAGTTGGAAGAAACACGCAGCAGCGGCCATTGTTAACGCATTTTACAGTTCTCTAGAGAACAGCATCGGTAAATAAATTATTAAAAATCAATTATAATTTGATCAATTTTTCGTATTTAAACAGTATTTATTTTACAGAATTTCCTGCCGGAATTCTACAGGGAATATTTTTCAGCCGAGAAAGACCCAAGTAAATTATAAAATTTAATGACAACTTTTTTTAAAAAATAAAACCCCAAATTAATAAAGTTTAAAAGCATTTTAATTTAATTATTATTGTAATTGTTTTTTTTCCATGTGTGTGTGTGTATTGTAGTTCTTTAAATTTTGGAGGGATTGGATTTGTGATTGGACACGAAATCACTCACGGGTTCGATGACACAGGTAAAAAAAAAAATGGGGATAGGGAAAAATTGAATTTAGTATTATACAGTTAGTATTTATTTTTATAATTACAGGTAGACAGTTTGATAAAGATGGGAACAATGTCAATTGGTGGAAACCAGAAACTGATGAGAGATTCCGACAAAGAGCTCAATGTATTATAGAACAATATGGAAATTATAGTTTTTCCGAAATAGGACTTAATGTATATGAATTTATACTTTATTACTATTATTATTTATTAAAAATTATATAATAAATAATTGTTATTCAATTATAGATCAACGGAATTAACACTCAAGGAGAAAACATAGCCGATAACGGAGGATTAAAATTAGCATATTGGGTATATAATAATTAATATTAATAAATAAAATCGAATAAAAAATGTATTAAAATAAATTAATTTAATTGGTTTCAAAGGCTTATCAAGCGTGGAAGAAACAAAATGGTTACGATGTGATACTTCCAGGATTGCCTTACACGTCTGATCAATTATTTTGGATAAGTTCGGCTTCTGTTAGTAAAATCTTTTCCTTCATTTTTTTTATTTTAAAATTAAAAAAAAATAATGTTTAATAATATATAAGATTTCAAAAATAAATTCTGTAGCTTAAATAAAAATACATTCGTATAAAACTTTAAATTAAATTGACTTAAAATCGATTTCTGAAAAGGAGTATTAAAGTATTTAAGAAGGTGTATTTTAGGATTTTTATCATAAAAAAAAATACAGATTTTTTAAAAAAATAATAAATTTAATAGAGAATTACATTTAATATACATTTTAATAGAGATAAATTATTTAAATAGAATTTTAAACAATAACCATTATCTGGGGACGTCGAGAGCTTGTATGGATGGAGCCCCATTTTTTTTTTTAACACCCGGAATACTTCTATAAAGAAGTGTAATTAAATAAATAAATAAAAAGCAGTCTTATTGGTAAAAATAATATTAATTTTATAGCGGTAGAAAACACCACCGGTCAGGGAAAAATCCCCAAATTCCTCCTCTCTCGACGGCCCCGATCTTTCTTATCTATTAATTAAACAAATTAAATTAACATATTTTTTATTTTTTTTTTCTTTCCCCTCGAAAAAGGTTTGGTGTGGAAAATATCGCCCGGAAGATTTAAAACTTCGAATTTTGTCTGGTTATCACAGTCCACCAAAATTCAGGTTTTGTATTTAATAATATAGACATAAAAATATATATACATATTTTAATAATTTAAATAAAAAAAATGAATTAGAATATATAAAATATATATACTTTTTTCTACATAAAAAAACTAGTTGTTATGGCCGACATACCACTTTATAATTCATACTGCGGTTAGTATTCGTGGCATCTGTCTGGATGTAGACGTGTAGAGAACACGCATTGCAATTTCTTATTATTTATTTTAAACTTAGAAAACTTAATGAATTTTATTTCCTAGTTTTGAAATAAATTCGAAATTTAAAAGGTGTCAATAGTAAAGCTCTCTAGTCACATCGGGATCGTTTTTCTCCATTAAGTGGCTTTTTTTTTTCGTTGACTCTAGGCTATATTAAATTGCTTGTACTGTAAAGTACACGCACGTGTGCTCTGTTATCTACCTCTATCAAAATATAAATGTCGTAGCTTCTTACCAGCGTAATATATCCTTATATTTTTTTTACATATTTTGGAAATGATATAAATAATTCCAGTAAAAAAATAAATTATTTACTTACATAATTTATGTACGTTACCATATTAAAAATTCTTATTTATTTACGTTATACAGTCGAACTTTAATCGATTCAATTTAAAGAAATCTTTAAGGAAAATGTTTAATACGAAAATATTATAAATAATAATTACTAATTCTTAATTTAAAAAACTAGGAATGTAAAATTATTTAGAAGGTAATCAGTGGATAACACAACTAAAACACTAGTCGTGGGTTCGAACCTCTCAATAGGCTGTTTACTCTTTTCTGATTTTCTTCACGTTAGTAACATCTAAATAAGGGGCGAGTTTACCATAAAAAGTCTTCCTCGTCGCTCACTATACAAAGAAATAATTTAAAATTTTTAAAGATAATTTGTAATTTTTAATTCTAATTAAATTTATATTAAATTAGACTTACTTTTAATACGAAACTTTTAATTATACTTTGTAATATTCTAGGGTAATTGGAACGTTATCAAACATGCCCGAATTTTCGAAAGATTTCTCCTGTCCTCAATCGTCGCAGATGAATCCAGAAAAGAAATGTTCGGTTTGGTGATCCGTCGCATAAATTTAATTTTTTTTTTTTTTTAATTTTATGTGGAAGGATCGCCATTGAACGATGCCAGTCCGTGTATTTGTTTAGGTCAGCTGACTTTTTGGTTAGTGATGACGTAAAGGAACGTCTAGATCGTGCATCAATTTTGCCAGTTCCTGTCGAATTTTACGAACAGTCGATCTCAAAAAAAGGAATAAATCAGCATTCTTCTGTGATAAGTCTATTTGCACTCCAATACCTTAACAATGGAATAAGAAAACAAACATTTTTAAACAAGAAAGACTCGACCAAAGACTAAATTACAATTATTTATGTTTTAAATAATAATAATAATAATAATAATAATTGTATTATTTCTTATAAAAGAAAACGAATTTTCAATTGTTTAATTTATACAAAAAGAAATTATAACCTAATATTTTATTCGCGAATTAAAATTTAAATAAAAAAAATTGTTCATTTTGTTAATTAAAAATCATTAATATTGTGTATATAAGTTAGAAATCTTAATATAAATAAATATATTGGAACTATTTTACGTCTTTAGTTGCTATTATTTTCTACTTAATAATTTTCCAGTTATTAAATATCTTACTATTGATTTTAATGAAGGAAAAATCGATAAAATTCAATTTTAATTTCAATTTTAATAGACCTAGTTTATCAAAATATACACACACATATATATATATATTTTAAATATACAAATAGCCCATTCCTTTCTGTAAATTTAAATGGGGAGAGGTTTCTATTTGTCTTGTATTTTGTTTAAAAATTTCGAATGAATATAAACCTTGATACGAACGACGATAATGACATAAACTGCGAACAGCTGTTCTTGACTGTTTTCAATAGAATGTCAAGAATGAAAATCGAATTGTCAATCGAGATTATCAGCGATTGATGAATTATTGATTCGTAAATCATTGGAATAAGTAAAGCAACAATAAATTATGTCGAATAAAATTTGATTTCTAATTAATATCAAATATGAAAGGACGTTTTCGGTGAGTTTTTTAAGCAAAAATATTCGAGATTTTTAATTAAAAAAAAAATATATAAATAAATATTCTTAAAACTTCAGCCATTTTCTGTACTCTTTTCTACTATATTTTCTAAGTAATTCAGGTAAGAGTTTCCTTTTTTTTCTCTTCCTCCTCCTCCAAAGTCTTTGATGTAATCGGGTATTTATGAATTATACAATTAAATAATAAAGATGTCAACTTTGCAAGAGAAGATTCGAAGATTTGTAATAGTCCAGAATGTGTTTTTGTAGGTAAGTTTTGCTAAAGTATAATAAAAAAAAATAACTTTAGAAGTAAATTAATCAGTAAAACCTAGATTATTTTTTTCTCTCGGGATCTTCTATTGATTTTATAAACTGTAGTGAAAGATTTACTTACTTTAAAATTGATTGATACGTTTGTGGAAGTCATTTTCCTTTTCCTGACCTAGTTTACAGTTTATAAAGACTTGATATTTGAAAATAAGTTGTTATTATTGATTATTGATTTTTCTAGCCGCTGATCTATTGACCTACATGGACCACAATGTCGATCCTTGTAAAGATTTCTATTCTTTTGCTTGTGGTCGATGGGAAAAATCAAATCCCAACATAACATCTGTCACCACAAGACTAACAGAAATGAATAAAAATATGCATTTTCGACTAAAAAGTAAGATTTGTCGATTGAATTTATTAAAAAATATACTGTAAATACAGTTTTAAATGGATAATTTTTTTTTAAACAGATCTTTTAGAATCTTCCGATAATTCCTCTGAACCGAATCATTGGAAAAAGGCCAAAAAGTTTTACAGGACTTGTTTAAATTTAGGTTATCGAAATTTCAATTTAAGTTTTTAAATTAATTTAAATTAAATATTAAAAGTTTTAAATTCTATCTTTCTAGATAAGAGAGAAAAGTTAGATAAACGTTTGTTTATAAATGATATCAAACAATTGGGTGGTTGGCCAGTTTTAGAAAATGTAAATTGGAAAGAGGATTCTTTTGATTGGATACAAACTTTACAGATGATGTTTGAAATGGGATACAACAAAAACATTCTCCTGAAAATCTCTATAGGAGCGGATTATAAAAACACTTCGATAAGAAGAATTTTTGTAAGTGATTAGATTAATTGTTAAAATCTTAAATAGCTTAAACGTTCCTATATTTAATAATCAATAAACATTTTGCATTTTGTTTGGGGGACTCTTTCTGCCCCGTAGGCACCAATAGGGTCCTCTTATCGAGACCATTATAAGTCAGGCCGAGTGATGAAGGCCTACCCCAAAAAATTTCTGGGGTTTTCCACTCATCCGGATCCCCAGAGTAAAAGGCTAACGCCTTAATCGTTCGGCCATCCGATTGTCCATTATAAAAGTTGTTTATGAAATTTAACAAACGAGTGTATTTTTTTAAAATTATAGATCGATCAACCTATATTTGGGATGAAAAAACAATTATTTTTTCATGAAAAATATGTTGATTCTTATATGAAAATGATCGTGGAAATGGTGACTTTATTGAAACCTCGTGCCGATGTCGACAATATAGCAATAGAAATGGCTAGTGCCTTAGATGTAGAACGTCAACTGGCACAGGTAAACAGTTAAACTTTTGTTTAAACTTAAAACAGAATAAGAATTATGAAAATTTTGATGCAGTTTGCACTTCCCATTCCGAACAAGAGGACTCCACAAGAAAGTTATAACCTAGTAAAGATTAGACAGTTAATGGAATTTATGCCACAAGTTAGTTATTTTTATGCAGTTCTTAATCTAAATTTCTATAATAATTAAATTATATATACTGTGTTCAGATAGATTGGTTGAGACTTCTCAATGCCTTCTTACCAGACGTAATATTAACATTAAATGATCAAGTTGTTGTAAAAGAACCCAAGTTTTTGAGACAATTCGGTATATTTATGAAAAGATTAGATAAAGAAAGGTAAGAAAATTTATCATTCAGTTAATTTCCAAACTGATTATTGACAATTTAATATACAATAGGAGAAGAGATCTTGCCAATTATATGTTTTATCGTGTGGTCATTGCTAATGCCATCAATTTACCAAAGCTCTTTCGATGGTCGTATTTTGATTTTCGCAGCGAACTTGTGAATAAGGAAATTCATCCTCCAGTTTGGTCTCTTTGTATTCATGCAACAACAACAATATTCAGCTACAGTGCATCGTCCATTTATGCAAAGAAATATTTCCGAAAAGAAACAAAGGAAGCTGTAAGTATCCCACAAAATATATAAACAACTTGCTGCGTGTGCCCGGCACTCGGGTTCTTCGAGGGGTGGGGATTGGTCAGGTCGCAGAATATTCATGCCAAATTTGGTGCGGATAAGTTGAACAGTATAGAACCCTTATATAGAGCCTATAGATAAGATCTACATAAAATATTTATTATCTTTTTATAGTCTATTTAACGTCTTTTTTACATGTTAAACTTTTTATTATTTATTATATCAGGTGAAAGAAATGGTAAGAAGAATTCAAGAAAGGCTAATATGTATTCTTAAGCAAGTAAAATGGATGGACAGCACAACTCGTAGTAGAGCGTTAGAAAAGGTATTTTAAAATTTTAAATTAAGAGAACTGGAATTTCTGTTATATATTTTTTAATTTGTACAGTTAAATAGTATTTACTTAAAAGACAAAATTAGGCATAGAAAGTAATTATTCGTAAAAGATTCCTCGCTTCTACCGGGCGATCGTAATTAAAGCATCCTCTATTTAACGATGTCTAGAGAGATAGAAGTCTAAATGCAATCAAATCTGGCATAACACCCGAGGAAGAACTAACTTGCATGGAACTCTTGACACTGTAAGCAGCAAACACTTTATTCGTACAAGACACTCGTGCTATAGGAATGTAAGAGATATCGCTTAATGTGGTCTCCATTCCAAAGGTAATAAACACTGTTCAACTGTCAACCATAAATGATCACGAAGCTTTTCATATGCAATGTGACACTGCTCTTTGCCAATGCTAAATTAGCCAAATTTACATGTTAATAAAAGATTTAGAATATTAATTCTAAACTTTTTAATAAATAATTAATAAGTAGAACGCAATGTATTTAAAATATTCTAGAGTTTCAAGTATTGAAAAGGATAGAACTGATTGTTGGAATTGTATGAAAGTTTGACCTTAATAGAAAGTAAGTAGGTCGCAATGATCTCCAGAAACTAGTTAAAACCGATATCTATTATATTCTGGATAACACGTCGATGCCTAATTTATGTTTAGGTTAATCGTTATCTTCTTTAAAAGTATTAAAAAAACATTGGATATAAAACAGATTGCTATAAATATCAATAGACTTATTGGATTTTCTGATATAGTTTTCGAATTAAAATTAATACATACAAGTGTATCCTCCATAGAGAAGTCTCAGATCAAATAAAACACTCGATACAGTATATTTTTCTTGTTTCCATTCAGGAATTATATGATATATGATAATAAACAAACTTACTCTCTGTATAAATGACAGCTAAATGGATAAAGTGATGTACTCTATATAATGTTTCTTATAAATTATTTTACTAGTGCACACAGTTTCGTGTAGCAATTATATCAACAATTCTCATATATAAATCACGTATTCTATTCCTAAACTCATTAACTCGTAACCATACTTAAATGAAGAAAGAACACAATACTTCATCTGTCTTAATAATGAATACATCAATGAAAATAATTAGTTCAATAAAGAAAGTATAAATGCTAATAACGAGTAAAATCTTCATTAAGTTCAACCTGACTCTAGATATGACATATAACTTCCTTCATCTCCCCCATTCCCTTGACCTTTAATTACCAAAATCTAATAGAAATAAAGAGGGAAACGTAGTGTTGACCAAGCTAGACAAGAAGCTTATTATGGAATTTTTTACATTTTTGGACTCCCGAAGTGTCAAAACGTCGAGAAACGGGAAGTCAAAATTTGACCGATCACCACTATACTTTCTCTGTGTTATCAATATATTCTATAACAGCCAGGAAATTAAAAACTGATAAAGCTTAACTCCTTTTCTTGATTAGGATACGATGAGTATTTTTAACTGCTTTTTCCATTTATAGAAAAAAAATAATAAATTTCTTTATCTAAAAATAATCATAGAAGTTAATTCTATCGTTTATGATCGATCTCTTTACTAAATAGGAAAAACAAATGGCCCCATCATTCTAAATTTATAAAAATATCAACGTGGAAAACTTTCATAACACTTGCAAATGTTCCTACAATAAACGGGTCTAATTTCTTTTTCAAAAAAAAAAAAAACAGTGAAAAGCTGTCACAAAATAAATCATTTCCATGCGTTAGAAGATATGAAAGAGTAACTTCCTGTTAGTTTTGTATTAATATACAAAATCTAAATCAGGGATAGACAGTGTCTTCTTATTAAAATAGTATAAGTTTGCATTTAAATTGTATATATATATAAACAATAAAATAGCTTATTTATTCTAATATCATCTACAGTCGGTATTCTCTTCACACACACATAAACACACACTAACTGGTCTAAAAGAAAAAAAGGGAAGTAATCTGATGACATATTTGACGCCCCTTGTCTCCAGATAATAGGGAAGAAAAAATACCTGTGTTATTTGATATGATTTGGTAGATTATTTTATTTTTGATCTGAGAACGGTCAAAAATTTTCCCATGTAAATTAATGGTAATTGTTTCTTCGCTTTACCGAAGATCTCATAGGAATGCTCTACTTTCCGTCAGCGAAAGAAACCAGTATTTATTAAATTACGCTTAAGTGAGCTTATTGTTGAATTAACACTAGCAAAAACAGATTAACCAATTGCCAGATGATTACTCATATTAAACCACAAATGAAATATTTAAAATCATCACGTGGATCAAAGCCAAATGAATGAGAAACTATTTAGGCACTAAACACGCGGCAAATTCCACGTGTCTAACACCTAAATAAGGACCAATTTCTCGTAGAAAGTCTTCCGATGATGCATTTCCTCTTGCCCGCGTGTTGCGTTGCCTTATTCCAGTTTTTCTCAACCGGGAACCACGTGGCACCTTTGGACCACAGAAGATTTCGAGGGAGTCGCGGGCCAAAACTCAATTTTTAGCAGTCAGAGCAAATACTAGGGATAATAATATATTAAAACGATTAAACTTCATTAAGTATCGTATGTGAATCGAATGAAAATTAATTTAAATTTTGAATGATACTTATTTTAAATAAAAGATTAAACTTGATGAAAGATTTGAAGATCTCAATGTAAATTTTCTATTGATGGATAGATATAATTACAATAAATTATCATAAATGAAAATAGTTTTATTGAAATTCTCTTTAATATCGCTAAAATTATTAAATAATTTTATGTTTTCTAAAGATTTTTGTCTAAATAGTGTACACTTTTACGTAAAATTGGCATCACTTTATCATAAGAAAACTGGAAGAATGACGCCAAGTTGACGTAGTACACTACGAATGCACGTTGTATTCAAAATTTTAAAGCACTTTATTAAACGTTAACACACAATAATTATTAATTATTAATTTATTTGTATTTTATATTAATTCAGGCTCACGCAATGTCGATCGTAATTGGTTGTTCGGATGATATTTTTAATGACTCGCAGTTAAATAAACATTACGAAAAGGTAAAAATGATAATTTTAAAGTTATCATTTTATTTAAAATATAAATAAAATATTCTAATTTCAGATAATAATTGGGAATTCTCATTACGAAAACGTACAAAATGCTAGAAAATATCAGTATCAAAAGCTGATGGAAGGTTTGAACAAACCAATTAACAAAGCTATGTTGGTAGATTTTTACATCGTATTTTATATTAAATGTACTTTTATAATTATCTTTTATAATTATAATTACTTTTAATATTTAGTTTAAGGGGACATACAAGAATTCTAATGGCTAATGCATATTATTCTCCATTTTTAAATACCATGAGTATGTATTTTATTTTAAGATTTGAATTTCTCTGTTTAATTAAAGAAATTTCCGAACAGATATACCTGTTGGAATCCTTCAAGACGTTATATTTAACGAACACTATCCACGGTGAGTTTAGAAGAAAATAATTAAAAGATATATAAAGAATTGTCCGTAAATTACTTAACGCTAATACGAGGAGTACGAAAATAATCGTTATTAAACGTTACAACGGGGTTGGGTCATATACAAAACGTTACGTAATGTAGGGTTTCAATCCCTCTACAAGATACATTCTTGTTACTGAAGTGTTTCGTACGTTATACGTGTAATTAATCGGGTACACGTGCTGTACAATTAAGGGGATTGATCGAGGATACACCTTACGTAATTTACGGACGATCCCTAAAATAAAAATCGAAAACTTTTAATAATGTAAGCTTATGTATTTTTTCTTTCAAGTTACATAAATTACGGCCGCTTAGGAAGTATAGTAGGACACGAAATGACTCACGCTTTCGACAATAAAGGTGACTTATACCCGCTTTATAATTATAATTTGGCATTATTCTTTCTTAAAATGTTCTATCAAATACAGTGAAACCTATCTAAAACTGAATCTGAATAAAACAGAAGCCCGAGCATACCGAAAAAAGTCTTCGGTTAACACAGGTTTTACTGTATAAGTGTTACAAAAAAGCAATTTATAATTTTATTTATAAATTTATTTTTCCTGTTTTTACAAATAATTTCCTTTTAAAATAAAAAATAGACCAATCTTTACATTTTTAAGGAGAATTTACGAGTTTTCTTCCTCGTACTATGCTAAGAATTTTCCTATTTAAATGTACTTTAATAATTAAGTTAGAAACGTAATAATCAGCATGATATTACTTGTAGAAAGAAATGAGAAACAATAATAATTTTAGGAGCCTGGTATGATAAAAACGGAAATTGGAAATTATGGTGGGCTGACGACACATATCAAAAGTTCATGAAGACGTCCGAATGTCTGGTCAAACAATATAATCGATTTTATATTACTGAATTACATCGGAAGGTAAATAAAATTTTACTTTCTAATTTTGTAAATAATAATAAATATAATTAATATTATAATTAATTGTTATATAGTTAAATGGTACCCAGACGTTAGGAGAAAATATTGCAGACAATTGTGGAGTTAGAGAATCGTATTTGGTATGTTTTATTTTTAAAAAGTAAAAGGGAAATTGAAGGAAATGTTTTAAAATATTTTAATAAAAGTTAATTTCCAGGAAAAGAATTTATATTTTAAGCAGTTTTTAATTAATTTCGGGCCCCGATCGCTTCCATTATGGGCCTGGCCGAATCTATGATGGGTGTGGAATAAAGAGCCTCTTACTACCCAGAAGAGATGCTCTTTATTCTAGATAGGGCCCTCTTAGTACCCTTTCTGGACACACGATGGGTATGGAATAAAAGTCATCTTAATGCCCAGAAAGAGCACTAAAGACTCTTGATTCCATATCCATCGTACGCTCTTTATTCCAGGGATCTTATAGTGTCCAGAAGGGGCATTAAGAGGGCCCTATGTGAATACTTAGAACAGAAAGAGTGAAAAAAAAAATCGTTAAAGTTACTATTTTCCCCCTTCTAGAGCATTTTACTTATTACATAAATAGTTAAATTGAAGTATTATCGATATAATTTTTATTTGTCCAATAATTCTTCGATAAAATAAAACTATTAATAATTTAAAATGTGAAACGAAAATTTTTCTTTTGTTTTTACTTTTAAAGTAATAATTTAAAAAGTATTGGAAAGTTTAAATTAAAAATTGAATAGGATAAAATGTAAAATGTATTTACTCATTTAAAATTCTTTCGAGACATTTAAAACTTATAATTAAATTGAATTATTCAAATGCTAATTAGAAGCCAAATCGAATGGTGCCACCACCTGTTGAGAGCTATTGTAACTTTCTGAAATTAAACGTTAAAATATCAATAAATAAATCTATTATTAATTTATCACCCATCTTATTTAAATTTTAATTATTAGGCATATAGAACATGGGTTTCGGATCATCGCATTTCAGAACCGAAGCTTCCAGGCTTGGATTATACTCCCAATCAGTTATTTTGGATATCTTACGCCACTGTAAGATTTAAACCAGTATTAAATATTTACTTTTAATGCATTTCCAGACTTTACAAAGGATTAAATATTTAATAATAAATAATAGGGTTGGTGCAGTTCTTATTCCAGGAACAATCTTCGGAGTAGAGTGCTTTACGATGTTCATCCTCCAGCTAGAAATAGGTAAAAACAAAAAAAAAAATCTTTTTTTCCCTATTAATTTGGATAGGCTTATTATTAATTACCTCATTGTTAAATAGGATTTTAGCTACTCTTTCAAATTCCAAGGATTTTGCCAAGGATTTTAACTGTCCAGTTGAATCTCCTCTTAATCCAACTACCAAGTGCACTGTCTGGATATAAAATTTAATAAAAATTAATACTAATTATATTTATTTAATAAATATATAAAGAAATAAATACTGTAATTCGACACAATGTGAATTTTTTTTTTCGTTTATTTAATTCTTTGAAGAATAAAATTGTTTTTAAGTTATTGCAGAGGTTGACCAACGAGAATAATAATTGATTGTGTCTTTGTATTCGTAATAAACAGAAAAAGAATGGCCATAAATTTAAATGCCCCCCAGGACGTAGTTTCGTGGAATAGTTTCATCCAAAATGATATTAATGCCATATTATTTAATGTCATTATTACTGTATAGGATTAGTGTATAAAATCCAATAAGTTTTAGGTATTATTATTATTAAAAACCTTTGAAAGTTTTTAAGTATACATCTACAAGGTTTTAATTGTTTTATTGTTAAGTTGTCAAACGTCTGATTTTAATTATCTCCATTTGAAATTTTTTCACATTGAGTAAATTTATATAAAGATAAATCAAAGTAATTTTGTTTTAAGATTTATTTTTATGAGTTAAAATTTTATTTTCTTCTTCGGTTTATACTTTTAAAAGCAAATGGAGCTAATGTCAAGAAGTTACAGAAATTCCAGAAAGAAAACAATAACAATTCACATTGCCTAGCTAATTGAAACATCTGAAGTTTCCTTCTGTTCCAGAATATATTTCACAATACATATACTCATTTATTTAGAAAAAATCCAGCAGCGAGTTGCGTAACTTTCTTAGCTGTTAAGAGATTTTATTTGAAAAATAACTTTTATGTTATTAATCGTAATAAATACAATTACGTCTGGCGCCATCTGTTACGAGATTTTATTACTAAAACTTTTTATATTAGTAATTAGTATAAGATGGCAAAAAGTTTAATTTTGGGGTGGAGATGTGTTTTGTAAAAAATCGTAAATGCTAATAACGAGTAAGAGCTTCCTTAAGTCGTACCTCTCTCGAGATATGACACATGACCATTCACTATCTTCTCAGTCCATCGCCATTTAACCAACGATACCCCTTATACACAGTCTAGCGTGACAAATTTCGTTTCTTAATCTTTACCCCATCCTAAGACATTAAACGAAATAGATGCTAAAACACACACAGACATACGTATCCACGATTTTTTTTTCGTTTCACTTTTCCGGCTGTTATAACATAACACAGGAAAGTATTGTAATTATTAACATCTTAAATTTTTACTTTCTTGTCACATTCTCGGTTGTTATAACATAATATTGTAATCGTGTCGCATTTGACCTTTCGGTTTTTTGGAATCGTGATGTTTTGACACTTTTGAACCCCAAAAAATCAAAAACTGATACTCGGAATGTGTGTGTATGCGCGCATTGGCATATATTTTGCATTATATCCGAGGTCTGAATGAACCAAAACTTTTGATACTTGGCAGGTTTATTTCTATATTTCAGGCATTTATGCTATTAAATTTTGGTACTTCTGTAGACACCTCCTAAATTCTGTAGACGACAACGAATTTAGGTGTGCAAAGTACAGTCGTACCCCTTCTGCAGGTTTGTCGCGAGCAAATCCGAGTAAATCAAATAGTAAAAATTTTATAAAGTGTGTTGTTTTTTCATGTACCACTTTAAATATTTCTGCATTCACCATTGCCCTATGGATACTTCATTGTTGCACTGGGCACCTTGGCTTTAAATTTCTTTTCCTCTCCACCTGGTAAATTTTAATTCGTTATTACCAAATACTGATATATATGTATATATATTTCTCATTACTCTAGATTATTATTTCCAGTATTATGATGTCTAAACAACACGTTCTTTGGCCCATTGTATTGTATTTTTTGTGGTTTAGAATTAAAGGTGAAGCTTCAGCGCTTATGCCATCCATCCATTTTACCTTGTACAGTATATTAGACAATAGATGTTTAAAAAATCAAAGAAAACTTTTATTTTGAAGGTGAACAAGGAGATCTTCCCAAATCTTTTCATAAAATCCAAAGTCTAAAAAATGAAAATTGGTCATTAGCACGAAGCTAAACAATAACCATGGAATACTGATATTTGTGCATAATATATACTCTAATCTTATGCTTAAGGTCTATATTATCATAAAGCGCCGTAGTGCTCTATAGTAGAGATTATCCCTACGTGTAATACCGTATATCAAACTGACAAATTTGACCGTTAATATCTCAAAGACCAATGAACCGATTTGGATGAAATTTAAAATATTTAGTGTCCTCGATGAGGGCTACAGAAGCCTTAAATTTTGAATAAATTCCTTGGATCGTTTTGGACTTACGCAATCCAAAATTCGGCATTTTTTATCCTAGATTTACAACGAGAGAGAAAATTTATTATAAATGTAGCATGAATAACGAAGCGTAATGGAATAGTATAAAATACTAGATTCTAACTAATTTTCAGTAATTTATTCTATTCATCTCGTAACAATCTTCGGAATTTTAATGGAATTGTTATTCTTATTACTTAGCAAACAATAACATTTAATACATTGTTTTTAGACAAAGAGTTAAGACGAACTTTGTCATTCCGAACGTATAAGAATTTATTACAGCAGTTCATAATTACGGATATATATATATATATAAAGACTGCTGAAGGAAAACCTCGGGGTAGCAATAATAAAAACAATAGTAAAAGACGTAGCAAAGAAAGTTTCAATTGCATTCTTTCAGAAGATATTTACCAGAAAGAAAAAGTTTGTTTAATTTCAATTATATGTTTTTACAATGTTCCAGTATAATTATTTCATTAAAACATTAAATAATTTCTTATTCCAACTTTATTAAATTTTTCATAGAATGTCGAATTATATTATAACGAATTCAAAAGAACATACGTCCGAAAAATCTAAACACGAAAGCTGCTCATCTTTTCCCGAATTCTTCAACACACGTACACGTGGAATGACAAAGGAAGACGAATGTTGCTCAGGGAACACGATTAATGAAATTGCAAAACCAAAATTAAATGTGCAAATTGAATCGATGACACTAACGGACTGTTTTAGACGGAAAGAAGAAATTATTTGCAGAAACGCTAGACTTACATATGAAAGCACAGTTAAAGAAAAGGCTATATTTGGAACACAGGAATTAGTTTGTTCCTTTGATCACAAACATGGACACTACAAGAACAAAGAAGAAATAGAAAACAGAGTTGAAACACTACTTGATCAAAAAACTGGTAAAAAAAAATGTTCTTTAAATTCATATAAAGGTCATTTTAAATAATTTAATCATTCAAATTTTCATATTTATGAATGTCATAAAGATAATACGTATCCGTGTAAAGAAATAAGTCAAAAAATGAAAGAAGAACATCAACCGTTTAGTTGTGAAAATGACAAACAAAAGAAAGAATATGATTTTTCAAATGATATAATAGCAGAAATCGGAAAATCTCTATCGAAAGAAAATGTTGAAAACACTCGCCACGAAAATAATACCGTTAAAAATGAGGTTACTAAGGTAAGTTTACATTAATTTTCCACAAATAACACAGGCTGTAAATCTTCTGATTCTTAACATAGGAGCATACATTGTGAAATAAATGAGGCATTAATAACTCCTATTAATAAGTCATTCATAATACCGATAAATTCAGAATTGTGTATAAATGTATCAATAAGGAGTATAATAGAAATGGCGATTTTCAATATTATTTTTCTTTTATATTAATGTTTCTCAATAAAAAAAATAAATAAATTCTGTACCTTTTATAAAATAAACTACAGAATGCAATAATTTAATATTAAAATACTTTTAATTCAATTTTAAAGTATTGTTTTAACGCCATTTTAGATAAACGAAAACGGCCAATACGGAAATTCAAAATTAATTGAAAAAAATAAAAGTAAATCCTACGATAACGAAACGGAAGCCAAAGAAACGAGTACCGAACACAATGATTCATCGGTAGAACAATTACAAGAAGAAAATTCACAATACCTTTCGGAATTGGAAGCGGTTTCTAAAAGTTCATCATATATTTCGTTGGTTAGTTCCGAGGAATGGTATTCGGCGCAATGGTTTTCTAGTGACGAATCGTTGACTAATAACGAAGAAAAAATGAATTCAGAAAAAGATGCGAAAGTGTCTTAGTTAAAATAATAAATATTTAATTTAGTTTAAGTTAAGTAACGTTTATAAATTATACAATAACATATGCACCAGTAGTGTCAGTTTATACGCTGCGAATTCTTACGCTGCACGACACGAGGAAGTGGTGATAAGAATTAAAACTACGGAAAATAGAATAAACAACGAGCAAACTAAATGACTTGTAAATTAGAAGTCCCGTGATTACGTATTTCGATTTTACATATTAAGTAATAACATAATGATTAGCATTATATGTCGAAACTTACAGCAAAACCATTACATATATATTTTATTTTTTTAGGCGCGATGTCACCAACATAGCCAGATATTTTGTACCTATCTTCCCGATATTCCTCGTTGGAATCGGTTGCAACTATTAAAGCCGCTCGTCGTAGTCATTTTTGAAAAAGCTAGAATTGGGATTTATAACAGATTCCGAACAAATACTCGAAACATTTATAATAAATGCTGCGAAAACGCCATCCATTTTTATTAACGGAATGCTAGGTGTTGCGTTCCTTCTAATACATCGGCAGAAAGTTAAATACTGTATTTCACATAACCTCTAACAGATAGCGAGCGCTACGCTGAATAACGGAAAACGTGGACTTTATTAATAATAATAACATAACAGTAAACAATAAACACAAACAAGAAGTATCGCAATGTGTTACGAAGTACCGCCATCTGTTGAGAAAAAAAGACAATAAACCAAGCCACAAAGAAACTGGTTATTTGGTTATTGTACTGTACTTTGGTTATTGTAGTAACTAGATGAATACTAGGCATTTAAATCTGAGTGCGTATGGCCGATCTATTGCTTTGCTATTACAAGAAACGATTTATTATTCGAAGTAACCATTTCATTTCTGGGAAATAATCTAACGGAATCTCTGGTGGACGTAAAATTGTCTTCCTTGTTGTTTTAATGCCTCCCATTCGT